TGTTTTCATCCCCTAACAAATTTTGAAGGTGCAATCGTGCTGTGCAATGGATCATGAAAATGGTTGCGGAGATATCGAAAAACCTCCGCTTTATTTACCTCAGCCCGAGGATGAATATCCATCAAAGCCGGAACGCACAATGGGACCTCTTGGTCCATGGGCTACGGGCAGAATAACCTGTTCTTGCAAGGGTGGAATAACAGGTTTAAGACCAGTTGCAGATCGATATTCCGTCACTCGCTATGGACCGAGTGAATGGCGCGCGCACAATTTGAGTGTCTTTCAACAATCAAATGAGAAAATCTGCGATGCTCAGTACGTGATTTCATTAATTTGTTGTAATTTTCAATTATTTTGAAATCGCGGTTTTAGAATCTAATATGAGAAAGAATTTTGGAAAGAATTTCAAAATATTCTGTACAATAATTACGCATTGAAAGCTAAGCATTTATCCAAAAAATATGAAATCTAAAATAAAGACATAAGATAGTCTTAAATATTTTGGGTTTTGTGTTGTCTCTGGGTATAATCTCATTGATTTATAAAAATGAATTTTTTTAGAGTTACAGCTACCGGTGCAAAACAATGTGTGGAACAAGCATACACGGCAGCCGATAAAGTGCAATCGGAAACAACGGAACATTTAAAAACACGGGCCAACGTGGTATATCATTGGAAAGCGGAATTAGAAGAGGCGATTGCTGCTATTGCAGAAGAGATTGAATTATTAGAGACCGAACGTCGTCGTGTGCAGCGATCTTTGTCAGTATTACTCATTCCTATGTCGATCGCAAGCGAATTTCTACAATTACGCACCTCTCGTTTGGATTCGGATCTCGTTCGTGACAATGTTGAGAAACAACTTACGAAGGTTGAATCTCGAATTACTTGCCGTCATCAACTCCGTCTCCTTGCGCTTTTTCAATTCATACTACGTTTTAGGAAATAGCGCTTTGTTCAGAAATACGAGATTTGCTAAACAAAACTTATGAAGAAATCGAAATGCAGATGGTTGAACTGAAGGCCGCGAAAGCTCGATTAGAGAATGATTGGTCTGATAAAATTCATACTTACAATATAGATTCCGTATGTGTAAATTTATCTAATGATTCTCCGCTCCTATTGTGGAAAGCAGGAGCTACAAGAGTCCCAACAGAGTAAGCATTGCACTACTTTATATATGCGAGACATGAAACGAAAAAACATCGACAAAGAATAAATTTGAATATAAAAAATAGCGATGATAATTAATAGTAACAGTACACGAATCTAATCCGTGTAATCAGTTTTTCTTTCGTTTCGGAATAATATAACTTTGCTGTTTCCAATGGTATTTGGTGATGTAATCACTTTACATAATCGATATGTGTACATATTTTTCTTTCTTGTTTTTACTTTTTTTAGTCAGTCTTCTCCTACAAGTTACGAACACTTTACACGAGAAGCACTAGCTGCCAGCGAGACTACCAAATTGAGATCAATAAAATTAAGGTCCACTTTAAACGATATATACGCTAAGTCCATTAAAGATTTACACAACCAAGCGACTCGCGTTGACATTGCACTTGCTGAAAACATAAAGCTCACACAAGATTGCCTTCAACAACTAGAAAAGGAATTACTTGGCGTAAGATCAGTAAACGTAATAAAAAAACAAAAGATGTAGAATTTTAGAAAAATCTTAATGCAAAAGAATATTTTTATTTTTAGTGTTTGCATCAATTAGCAAATACAGAAAAATTGATTGAAGAACTTCGAGATTCAACAAGAGGATTAAATAATGCCATGAAATTAGCACAGACGCGATTAGACAACAGATTGGATCGACGTAATGTTGAAAGTTGTCGAGATATACCTCAATTTGCGTAAGTCATTAAAGAAGAAAGATTATTTGGCAAATAGTATTAATGGAGTATTGCCAAAACAAACAAAAGAATATTTATTTTGTTTAGTCTTATTGAAGAAGTGAAATCACTTGGAGAACATACCACTGCTGTGTTGGCAGAATTAAAACATACTGAAGAATCTCAAGCAGAATTAGTCAAAGCAAGAGGTGTCCTTGAACATGAAATAATGGTAAAACGAAAGACTTTTTATATAGATAAGGAACGAGGTCTACTATTGCGTTCATTCTTCCCTTCTACTACAGAGTTATCCGGATTTTAATAAACTTGATATAAATAAGAAGAGAAATTATTTAACATTAAATATATCGATCAATTCTGTTTCATTAATTTATTTAATTTTTATTATATATCTCTCTGAAATAAGAAATATTAATGTTATATCAATTAAATTTATATGGACTAAATCTATACATCTATACATTTCATATAATATATATTTTCTTTCCAAAATATACAGTATTTTCATTAAATAAATGCTAATATTTGAAGAAATATGTGTTTTATGATTTTAAATGGTAACTCCTCTGCTGCGTTATATATTATTTTCTTATATTATGAATCAATATATAATTATTTCCTATATATTTATGTATTACTCTTTTACAGCAAATTGTTGAGAATATAATCATTAATATCATTATATTAAATAATATATACATTTTATATTTATATTTTATAATTTCTATTTTATAGTTTTAGAATACTTTCTGCGATAATAATGTTTAATCAAAATTATGTATATTTTCTGTATTTATGTATAATAATGTATAATGATATACACTTAATAATATATTTATTGTTATCTTTCATTTTATCTCTAAACATATATCTTGATGATAGTATTTTCATCATTAATAATCATTTTTTCTATGTACTTTCAGATTACTTCCTACACACACACACACACACACACACACACACACACACGCGCGCGCGCGC